GAGGGGGTTGCAACCCTCGATTTCTTCCCCTTGTCGCATGATTTTTTGTACGGCGTTGTGACATTATGGATTAGAAGAGGTATTGAAACTGTATGGAACTGATGCCGTACATAATCGAATGACCACATTTACCCTAAAAATCGCCGGAAAATCAAAAATTTTTCCGACTTTGTGGCGCACTACTTTTGTACGGCACTGCGCGTTTTCTCATTATTTTCCATGGATCTATTGATGGTAAGAATGCCGTACAAAAATACATGACCAAAATGTACTCACTCTACCTGTGCTTTTGAAATCTCACCTGCACTCAGTTGGACAGCTTACAAGCGACGGCATAGTGCTGAATCTTATTATTTTGTACCCTTATATCGTTCTGTATAGGTCTTCTGGTGGTTCAAATGACCCATCAATTTTTTACATGGGCCTGTAGTCTATAGCGTCGACTTCGACGAGCGCACCAAGGCGCACGATCACGCGCACGAGCACGCGCACGGTCGACTTCAAGGACGGCGGCGTGCCAGACAGCAGCCGCAACATCGTCATCGGCTCTTCGGACAGCGCATCAAGGCGCACGATCGCGCGGGCGATCGCCATTGTCAACAGCGAGCCAACCAGCATCTTCCAGGACGAGCTTCGGTCCTTCAACAACGCCGGAAGAAAGGCGAGGGCACGGCACCACGTGACGTTTTCATAGTCTTCCGAAATTCTTGTCATACCACAGGTAAGGGTGACTGTCGCGATCGGCTGCCAACCAGAAGTGTCGTTTTATCACTAGATTTTTGTGTGTCGAATCAAGATGTCTCAGGAAGACATAACCATTCTCAAGAGGCAACGTGCCGTTATCAAAGCTTCATGCACGCGAATAAAAACACGCGGATTCTATTACTTCCGTCACGCCGTCAGTAACGGCACAGCTCGAAGAGCGAAAATCAAAATTGGATCATTACTGGCTAGAATATTGTAACGTTCAATCGCGGTTAGAAATGCTTGTCGAGGACGAGGCGGGCGATCGTGCTTCTTTCGAGGACGCGTATTTTGCATTATCGGCAAAAATCCGAGAATTGTTATTCGCGCCAACTCATTCGAATCGAGGCGTCGTCAATCCATCACCTTCGAATGTATCAGACACACGAGAGTCCGCGATGCACGTGAGGTTACCTAAGCTCAATCTTCCGACTTTTAGCGGCAAGTACGACGAATGGTTCCCTTTTTATGACGCATTCAACTCTATCATACATTCGAACATGTCAATCAGTAATGTCCAGAGACTCCAGTACTTGCGAACTTCCCTGTCAGGCGAAGCGGCTGACGTCATAAGCTCGCTGGAGATTTCCGATCTCAATTATGAAGTAGCATGGAAATTGTTGCGAGATCGGTACGACAACAAACGAGTAATCGTGCATACGCACATCAAAGCAATCATGGAGCTTCCATGTTCGGTCAAGGAAAATTCGAGCGAGCTGAGACAAATCGCGGACGGCGCGTCCAAGCACATACGCGCTCTTCAAGCTTTGAAACGTCCGACATCTCATTGGGATGACCTGCTCGTGCACATCCTAAGCGCTAAACTCGACGCAGTCACTTTGCGAGAGTGGCAGACATCGTTGACCGGTACAGAGCTTCCCAATTTACAGCAATTTCTCGACTTCGTGAATCATCGCTGCCAAGTTCTCGAGGCCACAAGTAAATCCGCTAACGCGTCAAGTAAGCCTAATAACGCGAAATTAGCATCACAAGCAAAACGTCAGACTGCATGCGCAGCAACACTTAATTTCAAATGCAGTTTTTGCCAGGGTAGTCATTCTATCTACAAATGTAAAGATTTTCTAGCACTCTCAGTGTCCAGTAGAAATTCCGAAATTCGCAAGCGCAAGATTTGCATCAATTGCTTGCGTTCCACCGAGCATAAAGCTAGCCAATGCCCATCAGGCACTTGCAGAACATGCAAAGGTAAGCACAATACGCTTCTGCACGCGACGAATGTGCAAGAGCACGAGCAAGAAAAACGCCAAGAGGAGGCATCAGCATTGTTTCCAACGGCTCTAGTTATGCATGCGCATAATTCTCCGGAAGATCAATGCGTCGTGCTCTCCACAGCTGTCATCCACGTTCATGATGGCGGGGGAAGGCGCATCGCTTGCCGAGTCTTACTCGATTGCGGCTCGCAGGCTAATTTCATTTCTAAAAAGTGTTTGCTTCAACTCGGCTTAAAACCACAGTCAACTAGCATATCTAGCAGATTGTCCGCCTAAAATTCCAATCTCGCTTGAATTCTTACTCAGCTGTCATTGATTGTATAGTAACGGAGCAAATAACGGACAGACGTCCTGCTCTCACTATCGATCGAAATAAGGTCAACATTCCCGGCAATCTAAAATTGGCAGACCCGCATTTCTTCAAATCGTCAACTGTCGACATCCTACTAGGCGCTGACATTTTTTGGGAGCTATTATGCGTGGGACAGGTGCAATCATCGCCGAGGCACCCAACGCTCCAAAAGACTCGCTTAAGGTGGATTGTAGCCGGTCGAATCGGCCTCTCTTCTTCGGCCCCGCGGAGGGTATGTTCTCTGCATACCACCATTACTAACGCGCAGTTACACGATCAGCTGAGTCGGTTCTGGCAGCAAGAAAATTCGTACAACGATGTCAGTAACCACACTCTAGTCGAAGCTCACTGTGAGCAACATTTCTTGGATAACGTTTCTCGTGATCAAACCGGTAGATTTATAGTAAAACTCCCACTGAAGGAGCAGCTGATCGCTAAGATCGGCGATTCAAGGGATACCGCGTTAAAACGTTTGCAAGGCATGGAAAGGCGTTTCCAACGCGCTCCCAATCTCAAAGCACAGTACGTAGAGTTCATGAATGAATACGCATCTCTAGGGCACATGAAAGTCGCGAACATTGAATCAGACGAGGATTCAACATCGTTCTACTTACCACACCACTGTGTGTTTAAGACTGCAGACAAGAATTCGAAAATTCGCGTGGTCTTCGACGCGTCGTGCAAGAGCAGCACAGGCGTCTCGCTCAACGACGCTCTCACAGTAGGGCCTGTCGTACAGCAGGATTTAATGTCAATCCTGTTACGTTTTCGTACGCATCGATACGCCGTTTCGGCTGATATAATCAAGATGTACAGACAAATTTTGGTAGACCCGTCGCAAACAAGGTTGCAAAAAATTCTATGGCGAACCGACGTCCAGTCTGATGTCACGACATACGAATTAACGACGGTCACGTACGGTACGTCTTCGGCGTCATATCTCGCAACGACATGCCTCAAATATCTAGCGGAACAGTACGCATCAGAATTCCCAGTAGGGTCGAAATGCGTGGAACGTGATTTTTAGGTCGACGATCTGCTCACAGGAGCGGATACGATCACGGATGCAGAATCAGTAATACGAGAAACTACTCAGTTACTCCAGTTAGGCTCGTTCAAACTCAGTAAATGGGCATCAAATTGCTCGCAGCTTTTGCCGGGCGCGGAGGGTCATTCTAGAAACCTAGTGCCTATTGGTGATAGTGCTCTCTCACGCGTCCTCGGGATCCACTGGGACCAAAACAATGACGAATTATGTTTCTTTCATGAGGACAACGTAGACTATTCCTCCATATCGAAACGTGTAATACTTTCAGGAACCGCCAGGTTATATGACCCACTAGGATTGCTCGGACCTGTTATTGTCGTCGCGAAAATTATCATCCAGGAATTATGGCAGGCAGGTCATCAGTGGGATGAATCAGTCTCTCAGGACATACAGTCACATTGGATGAAACTTCGATCACAACTAATGGAGCTGAATGAACTACGAGTTCCACGCTGCGTCAAGTTCACAGCGGATCCTCGACTTGTCCAGGTACATGGGTTCTGCGACGCCAGCCAACGAGCGTATGGCGCATGCATATACCTGCGAACTGAAACCACCAATGGCTATCGCGTGGAGTTACTTTGCTCTCGATCGCGCGTGGCACCGCTCAAGGCCATTTCGTTACCTAGGTTAGAATTATCCGCAGCATTACTGCTGTCGCAGCTTTTAGAAAAGGTGAGAAGCTCATTCGACTTGTCGCACATGAACATCGTCCTGTGGTCAGACTCTATAATAGCTCTCAATTGGCTACCTCGCCTTCTCGAAAATGGACGGCTTTCGTAGCTAACCGGGTCGGCGAAATTCAACGTCTCACGAAAATAGAAAGTTGGAGTTACATTCAATCTTCTGACAACCCCGCTGACGCATTATCGCGTGGGCTCACCCCTCGAGAATTAACGAATTCTTCCCTGTGGTGGCAAGGCCCAGGATTCTTACGGTCACACCAGGATGACTGGCCAAGCGGCAAATTTACTCAGTCTGAAAGTGGCATGCCGGAGATGCAGAAAATCACGGTAGCTGCCGTTTCTCTCGAACGATCGGTGGTGGACGAATTAGTCAGTAAATTCTCAAGTCTCACTAGGATATGTCGAGTTCCAGCCTACTGTCTTAGGTTTCGCAAGGCACATCGGCCAAGTCCACCAACCACTCTCCTTTCTCACAACGAAATAGCTTATGCTCTCAACGTCGCATGCAAGGCTATACAAAGGGCATCCTTCCCTAACGAATACGGAGCACTGAGTAAGGGGAAGTCTATCAGTGCATCTAGCAAAATACTTTCATTGTCTCCTTACATGGACGACACAGGATTAATTCGCGTAGGGGGCAGATTAAAGAATTCCAGATTACAATTCGATGCTCAGCACCCCATTTTGTTACCCCGTGAACATGAACTAACAAAGCGGGTAATAAACTACGAACATGTGCGTAACTTGCACGCTGGAACACAGGCAACCATGGCTGCCGTAAGACAACGGTTTTGGCCTCTTTCTCTCAGGTCGTGTACGCGCAAAATTCTTCGGAATTGTGTAACTTGTTTCAAAGCCAAGCCAGTTCAGTCGGAAGCGATAATGGGCTCTTTACCGGCCAATCGCGTCACCGAATCGAGGCCATTCTCGCATTGTGGCGTGGACTACGCTGGTCCAGTCGTACTAAAGGAAGGCAGGCGGCGAAACGCACGTAATACTAAAGCATATATTTCCGTGTTTGTATGCTTCTCGACAAAAGCAGTTCACCTCGAACTAATGAGCGATCTCACTTCAAATGCATTTATCAGCGCGCTCCGGCGTTTCATTTCGCGAAGAGGTAGGCCGGCATGTTTATACTCGGACAACGGAACTGTCTTTGTGGGAGCTCACAATCAACTTAAGGAAATTCAGGATTTCCTTAAAACACAACAAGCTCAAGCCGACATAGGGCAATTTCTCTGCAAGCAAGAGATCACGTGGAAGTTCATACCTCCCAACGCGCCTCACTTTGGGGGCTTATGGGAGGGCGCAGTAAAGTCAGCCAAGTATCACATGGCGCGAATAGTAGGTAAGGCTCATTTAAATTTCGAAGAAATGCAAACGGTGCTTGCTGACATTGAGGCAGTCCTGAATTCGCGTCCGCTTACGCAACTTAGCAACGATCCGAACGACTTAAGTTACCTTAGTCCGGGACACTTTCTGGTTGGAACAGCATTAAACAGTCTCCCTTGCCGCGATTTATGCGACATCAATGAAAATCGTCTAACGCGTTGGCAAAGAGTTGACCAACTCAGACAACACTTCTGGAGGAGGTGGAGCTCCGAGTACCTCCAGTCGCTCCAGGAACGCTCAAAATGGAAAATTAGCAAAGGCGTGCAGCTACAACCCGGACAGCTAACGCTCATACGGCAACCAGGCCTGGCTCCCATGCAGTGGCTGCTAGGTCGGGTTCAAGAGACTCATCCCGGCTCCGATGGTGTTGTGCGAACAGCCACGGTCCGGACCGGCAAGGGTACATTTGTGAGACCTTTGTCCAAATTAGCGATACTACCTGTAGATTCATAAGAAACATGTCAGTTTTATCATCCGTACTAGTCCTAACTTTACTTAATCATAAGTCGTTTACTAGTCTGTAAGTATCTTTACCAGACAATAGCGAGCGTGCCTTACAATCTAGTCTCGTTTTCTTTCTGTTTAACAGAGCACCAGCGCGTCTTGAATACAGACACGCATTTTGAAAGCATCATCTTTCAAGGGGGGCGGCGTATGTTAGGTACAATATTTCTCCTGCGTGTCCGCCGACATACTCGCGCCATTATTACTCGCGCCGCTTTCGAGCGGTGATCGGCTTAGTAGTGCGCGATCTAGCCACCGCGGCGCTTGCGTCCCTAATCGACGTTGTTAGCGTATCAATTCTCCCTTGTTCTCTACGATCAACCGTCCAGACAGCCGCGTGTACGATAGCCGTGTGTTTACTAACCAAGTGAACCGTATCAATAAAGAATTAAGCAAGCAAGGGAATACAGCTACTTTTATTCCCGACCACGCCCGAACGCGAGATAATTAGCGCCGCGTGTCACCGCGTGGAAAAGCGTGCATCTCAGCATCGCGCTAACACACAGTTGTGTATGTATGGATGATGATTGCTGTGTATGTAATGATGGTGATTGTTGCGTATGTAAGGATGATGATTGCTGTGTATGTAATGATGGTGATTGCTGTGTATATATGGGTGATTATTGTTGCGTTTGTAATGATGGTAATTGTTGCGTATGTAATAATGATGATTGCTGTGTATACATAGTTGTTAACTGTAGTAAAATATAGTTTCTTTGACGCTGTATTGTTCTACAGCTGCAGTTAATTTATGTATAGCCTCTATTCTGTTTTCTTCGCAATATATTAATTTTTTCCGCAAATCGTACATAGCTTTTGTTTTGATAACTTTTTTGTTCCTATTTTCTTTGTTAGATTGAGAAATATCAAAATATAAAAAATTAAGGCTAATGAGAGCAATTCGCTGTAATTAGTGCGATCAAATAAACGTTTTTAATAAATAATAAAATATATACATCTAGACGTTTCGGCCTACATCCGGGCCATCTTCAGTAGTCATATACAAAATCAAATAAGTCATGGGTGTGAAAGAAAGTGAATGCTCCCCCAGCCTTCTAACAGTCTCAACATGGTTTAAAAGTCATGTATGTAAGTGTAGGAGACTGGAATCTAAATAAAAAATTGGAACTTGTAAAAAGAGTAAAAAGAGCTAAGATACGCAACACTCACCAACACCACCATGATTCAAAACATTCCATCGTCTTAAGAATTAAGTTGTTCAAAAATTCAAATATATGTGTCAATGGTCATAACAAAATTCTTTTAAATAAGATGTCACAAATTAGTATTTAAAAATCGATGTCACCGACATCGTGGATCTTCTTATAAGATAGTCAATAACGGAAAACAACAGAAATCAAACGTTTATATATACGTGGAACAAATTGACGTAAAAATCGATATAATAAACAGCCAATCTAACAATGACAAACCATCGAGAACGGACATCGATATAGAAGAACCAATAATATCTTAAGCAAAATGTCACGCATGCGCATTGTCGTGATCAAATATCGATATATCAATTTAAAACGTAAAGCGTTATTAAAAGAAGTCAACAATAGTCTTTATAATAAAAATGTGGTTAAAAATCGATACACGTTAATAACAATGACAATCATAAAAATAATACGTAACAAATTATTCCAAGTCATTGAGAAAAGCGATGTAAGAATGGTGCTAAAATTCTGTATCAGATTGCAAATTCAGGCTGTTATCTTGTAATTTAATATGTAGCATTTCAGCAATGCGTCTTTTGTATAAGAATCTCTCTACATCCAAAACTTCCGCACCATCCCAATCAAATTCATGATCAAAATTGATTCTATGTTCAGTAACAACACCTAGTCACCTAGTTCCATTAAAAATAGTTTTGATTTAATTAAAATACTTAAGAAAACAACATTACATTAGAACTCCACTTTGATCTCGCTTGATGTTGTTTCGTTGTTCACCAACATACCGTTGGAATTGGCTTTGGATAGTTTGGATCTTAGATGGCCTTCCATTAGTAGGTTTATTAACATTTCTAAAGTTGAATTTTTTGAGGGGGTCCAACTTGTTTTTAATTCAACATACTTCACGTTTGATGGCTTAATTTACAGACAAAAATTTGGTATGCCTATGGGTTCCCCGTTATCACCAGTTATTGCGGATATTGTTTTGCAAGACTTAGAACAAAAAGCATTAAACTCTTTAAATTTACATATACCATTCTATGTACGTTATGTTGATGATATTGCAATGGGAGCTCCTCGGGACAAAACTTCTGATATTCTTTCTATGTTCAACTCGTTTCATCCACGTTTACAATTTACTTTGGAAACTGGGGGTGATTCGCTTAATTTCCTTGACATCACGATCGTTAGGGGTGACGGAGGTTTGGAGTATGATTGGTATCACAAGCCTACTTTTTCGGGACGTTATTTGAACTTTCTTTCCCAACATCCTCTTTCCCAAAAGATAGGCATTGTCATGGGAATGGTTGATCGAGCATTCTTATTGTCTAGTCCTAAGTTTCATAAAAAGAATTTATTGAATGTTATTGAGACATTACTCAATAATGATTATCCGATTGATCTTATATTTGATACTATTAATGAGCGTCTTAAATCACTTTTAATGAATAAAACACTTAAACAGTCAATTCAAGTTACATCTGACAGTGATGAACCTTCAGCAACATGGTTTACTGTTCCTTTTGTAGCCAACTTTTCTGAGAAGATTAGAAACATTTTAAAAGTTACAGATGTTAAACTGGCGTATTTTAGTCTTAATAAATTGAGTTGTATTATCAAAGCTCAAAAAGATATTATGAGCAATATGTCAAAAAGGAATGTTGTTTACAAGATCCAATGCAAAAATTGTAATGCGTCATATGTAGGGCAGACGAAACGCACTTTAAAAACGAGAATTAAAGAACACAGAAGTGACATTAATAGAACTAGTGGCAACCGCACTGTTGTTACTGAACATAGAATCAATTTTGATCATGAATTTAATTGATTGGGATGGTGCGGAAGTTTTGGATGTAGAAAGATTCTTATACAAAAGACGCATTGCTGAAATGCTACATATTAAACTACAAGATAACAGCCTGAATTTGCAATCTGATACAGAATTTTAGCACCATTCTTACATCGCTTTTCTCAATGACTTGGAATAATTTGTTACGTATTATTTTTATGATTGTCATTGTTATTAACGTGTATCGATTTTTAACCACATTTTTATTATAAAGACTATTGTTGACTTCTTTTAATAACGCTTTACGTTTTAAATTGATATATCGATATTTGATCACGACAATGCGCATGCGTGACATTTTGCTTAAGATATTATTGGTTCTTCTATATCGATGTCCGTTCTCGATGGTTTGTCATTGTTAGATTGGCTGTTTATTATATCGATTTTTACGTCAATTTGTTCCACGTATATATAAACGTTTGATTTCTGTTGTTTTCCGTTATTGACTATCTTATAAGAAGATCCACGATGTCGGTGACATCGATTTTTAAATACTAATTTGTGACATCTTATTTAAAAGAATTTTGTTATGACCATTGACACATATATTTGAATTTTTGAACAACTTAATTCTTAAGACGATGGAATGTTTTGAATCATGGTGGTGTTGGTGAGTGTTGCGTATCTTAGCTCTTTTTACTCTTTTTACAAGTTCCAATTTTTTATTTAGATTCCAGTCTCCTACACTTACATACATGACTTTTAAACCATGTTGAGACTGTTAGAAGGCTGGGGGAGCATTCACTTTCTTTCACACCCATGACTTATTTGATTTTGTATATGACTACTGAAGATGGCCCGGATGTAGGCCGAAACGTCTAGATGTATATATTTTATTATTTATTAAAAACGTTTATTTGATCGCACTAATTACAGCGAATTGCTCTCATTAGCCTTAATTTTTTATATTTTGAATTTTTCGAGAGTTGAATTTTTTATTGATGAGAAATATCACTAGCAGAATTTTCAGATACTACTGATTGTTCCTGTCTGTGAATCATATTTTTAGTAACATCTTTATCTGTCCCATATATATCATAGTTAACTATACCAAAATTTAATTTCGCACAACTTTGAAACCAATCAGAAATGTAAGTATGTGAGTTACATAATACAATCATTTTTACACACCTCTCCGACGATTTATTTTCTATAAGCTGTTCAGTAACTTCTCTCTCTGATCTAATTGTATCATCTCCAAGCGAATGTAATGTATTTTGATGATAACAAGTTGACGTCGTTGGTGTTGAAGTACAAGAACTTTCATTAACTGCATTATTTTCTATTGATATAGAAGATAGCGTTGAACCAATGTGTATAGTACGATCTTGTTGATATATCTCTTCCATATCCTTGTACCACTCCCAAGAGATGCGTCCACGGCCAGTACTTGTTTTCTTATTATTATCTAAAATATTTCTATATGACTTTTTTAAATTTCGCATCTTTCGATCAAGAATATTTTCATTAACATAATAATTTTTTTATTTAAATTCTGTAACTATCTCTGCCCATAGCAATTTTTTCTTCGAATTTGGGTCACGGAATCTTGTTTTTCTCTCATTAAATTTTTCTAAAAGGAACTTAGTACTTTGTTATGTCCAATTAAACGTCTTTGTGATATCTGCATAATAAATATTACATTAATACATTTCATATGACTAGTCTTCATAAGTTGAATATAAATATGCAAATATGATAATTGTATACAGGGAGGGGCATTTAAAACAGGTCGCCTGAATAACTCTCTTGTTTTTGACAATAGAAGAAAAAGTGTCAGACAAAAGTTGCTTGGTTTCGAGGGGCACATAATGTGATGTCAATAATTGTTTTTTTTGGTGGAGGCGCCAAGGATAGGCAAAGGTCAATTTTTTTTTTTAAATCGAATGATATATTTTTTTATTTACAAATTAAATTTAATA